AAGAAAAGGATTGGAAAATGACAGCCACTTTCCCAAACCCCTCAGTCTAGGCAAACGTATGGCAGGATGTTCAATTTGCTTTCATCCCCATGAGGGTCCAATGATATGCAATCTGTCCAATCATACCATGCACCCTCGGTGTCATTACAACCGTTAACGCCCGGCCAGTGCTGTGTTTGTATTCTGTCCAGATCCCCGTCCGTCACCTCCCGGCTTATGCCTGGTAAATCCCCTACTGGGTTGTTTGTCTGCAAAACATGTATCTTCCGTGAGTCCTTGATATCCTGTTCTTCCCTTTTCAGATACTCCGCCATGAAAAAGTGTGCACTAGGAGCCTGGACCCCAGAGGAGGTAAGCACATTGCTCTGGAGGTTCAAGTAGGACTGGATGATTTCATTTCTGGACAGCTCTTTCCAGTTTGTCTGATGAAAAGGGTTAGGGCCGGGACCTGGGGCTGGAGGAGGGGCCAGAGCCAGGGCTGGGACTGGGGTAAGGACAGCGGGCGGTTGTACAGTGCTTTCAGTTCTCTGCCTAGATTCAGCAGGTTCAGGAGTGGGGGCTTCCTCTGTTTGAGAAGGTTCTTTATGTACCAGATGTTTGATCTGACCAGTGACAGGGTCAAACGTTAACCTGCGTTCTTTTAACCGTACAGGTTTAGTCGTGTCCTCTATTTTCTGGCCATCTAGGTTGACAGCGTAGTCTCTTGATCTGTACTTCCTCCTTTTATGCTCTGAGTTTGGAACTGGTGTCCCATCCGTGTCATCAGACACAGACACAGTGACCTCAGATGGCGGTCTGTGCAGTTCTGAGTTGTGTTGGGGGTGAGAGGGTGAGAGGGAGACTGTTGGGGATTCCAATGTGGCAGATATTTCTTGAGGTGGGAAATGAGAGGGGACTTCTGACGGACTGGCCCAGTGCATTGAAGACCTATGAGAAGAATGTGGTAGCTTCTCGGCGCAAGATGCTTGGGCTGGTGAGGATACAGGCTGGGAAAAAGACAAAGGAGAGTCCCTAGAGGAAGGGCTTGGGATAGGTGTTCCTTTAGTTGCATATGCTGAGGAGCGCTTGGTCACTGTGTCTTGCTTCATGCTCCTTGGACTGGTAGTGAGGCCACGAGGACTTTTGGCTTGATTATACCCTCCGCCTCCTTCATCTAGTCTGGCCTGTTGCTGCATCACAGCAGCCTTGATCATAGAGGAAGTGCTAGGTAGTTTGGCCACCCCTGGGGAGCTGGGGCGAGGCTTGACAGCATTGACTGGAATTCGGTTTATTTTATCATTATCAAGGTGCTCTATCCGAGATCTGTCAGGAGACGGGACGACTTGCTGGTCAAGCAGGGTGTCAGGGCTGCCTGCAATGCCATTGGTGGATGGTGGGGAAACAGAGTTATCAAACGAGGACAACTTGGGGATTTTTTCTGGTAAGTGCACTCCACTGTCTCTGTTTTCTGCTCTGCGTTTGCGGCTGCTTGATTTTTCAGCTTTTGGAGAGTATGTGTTGTGAATATCGTTTCTGATTTTGACTTCAGGGACACCCTTCCCAGACACAGAAATGTCCGGAGCGGCATCCGTTCTGCAGGGATGAGAACTTCCATTGGTAGAACCGGGGGTGCTGGCCGGTACAGCTGGCCCAGGTTCAATCAGCTTTTGCCAGGCTTTTAACAGTTTCTTAGCACGCTTAGCAAGGTCTTCATTCTTGGTCTTCTTTCTCACATCGTTAATCAATTTTCCTAGTCGAGTTTCCTGCATAAAGAAAGTGAGGGTTACGGAAAACATTGTATTAACACAATTTCTGCATTGGGTAGAAGATCATGTATAATCAACTGTCTTACCTCAAGTGCTTCTTTGGTGATAGGATACTTTTCAAGACCGGATATAACCTCCATTACAGCCACCATATTGCATATCTGCAAGGAGTACAAGCAAACATGTTGTATTACTTTGCTACATTCGTATGAAGCAAACATTTAGTGATAGCTAATCCCCATTAACAGAGGAAGACACTGTTAAATGAATATTTTTAAATAGTCCTTGTAAATTAAAGAATGCTAAATATTATAGCTATATTAAATATACGACTATGAACAAGACTGATATTCACATGATATAGAAACTATCCTGTGTATGCTAGAAACGCTATGGCATAATCTCTGCAACGTGTGTGAGTATGGGTGCAAGTTAGCTTGTAAATTAGCTTATATGTATGCTTCAGATCGATGTTCAAAAGTAACGATGGCTATGTGTCAACTCACGAAACCTTCACCAGTGCTAACGTTTAAACATAATCGTAGCAATAAAGCAAAAACTAAATACAAATAGCAGTAAACTTTATTCGGTCGAGAAAGTCAACCAGCGTTTTAGAGTCGGCAGACTTAGCGTACCTGTGTAAGCTAATGTGGCTACTGCTAGCGTTTAACTAACTTGAGAAGGAAGGGTTCTACTATTTCTAAAACGTAGCTATAAAAGCTAAGAGTTAGCTAGCTACCTCCCACACTTCGCCAACAAGGAACTGGTGTACGAAGAAACCCCAGTCAAGAAGTAGAACATTCAGATAATTTCAGAGTAAACCTGATATTTCCAACGCACATGTATGTAATATATTCGACCAAGCCGTTAACTACTCTTAACCCGCTTTAGTGTTGCGGCTAAGCTAGCAGCTAGCATGCTACATAAACCAGCTAACGCCAGATTGCTGTCTAACCAGCGTAGCACCTCTGCTAAATTAGCTTACAAGCTGTCAAACCAAGAGCTAAGTGTCTCTCCATATTTCACAGTCATTCGAAAAGTCGCTGCCAACCCAAATGTTAAATCATGCAGTTATAAATACAACTAAATAGTTAATTGACAGCTGTTGTGTGAACTGGCTTGTGCAGTTTGCCGGAGGTACAGGTAAACAAGCTAACGTTAGCTTCCTAGCCTGTTAGCTTCACTCACATTGCTGTGACTGTCGATGGCCTGCACCAGCCGGTCCCTCATCTGCTGCGGGGTTGCTGAGACCGTTGTCATTGCCTGTTCGGTGCGATCCAGAGGATGGAGGGAGGAATCCTCCAAAAGGAAAACAGGGGGACAATGATGACTCAAAAGCCGCTGCGGTTACACGCCAGGCGTCCGAACTGCATATTTTTCTGTCGCCTGTAAGGTAGACGGCTCAGTTTTTCTCACATGGAGTGGGAAATGTGTGTTCTGTGTTGACCGTTGGCTGCTGCCTGTTGGGCGCACTAGCAACTCACTACCAGCTGCTGGATCTCTCAACGGCCTCCTGCTGGCTGCTGCATGCCGGGATACGATGTGTGCGCTTTGACGTCTGCACGTAAACATCCCTGCCGTCCACCTACACTCCTTACTCATAGGTATTACCCGTGGATGTATTATACACACAATAATGTATTTCGTAATAGAGTACTCTACTGCTTCTGTGTTATTGTGCTCCTAATATGTTGTAACATTATGTTATTGATTCCTAAACAGGGGCTTATGTAAAAAAAAAAGTGTGTCAATTATTTTTGAAACAAATTGAAAAACAAATTGGATAGGAAAATAATGCATCTGTATATTTCTTCATATGTTGAGTCAGCTGTATTGTGCAATTTTGTGCATGAAATGTAGTAAACGGTACGCTAAAACAAAAGGAAAATACCCTACAGTTCAAATTGTTATGTAAATGGTTGAAATAGCTAAATATATATATTATATGTAGCAGAAATGCAAACAAGAGCGAAAAAACCTAGACATTGACATTGGTTGTATGGAATTTTTTTGAAACAGTTGTAGCTTGTGAAAAAATACTGCAAGAGTGTTTCCAAATATATCCAATATCATATGTCATATCCAAATAGCCTTCATATGAAAACATGTGGACGATGACAGGGGTTTTTGATGAAGGGATAGGCCTACTTGAGTTTCTAGATACAAGATGGGAAGCCACTGCATTATATAATATATTGGTGTATGTAATCACATTTTAGGCCGGTTATGAAATAAGCACTCATTGAAAATATAAGGGTAATTTTAAAGATATTTACCAGTTAATGTGTTTTTTAGTTTTGTCTGTAACTGTCTTGTTGATCAACTAAATTGCGATTTCTAATAATCTTTTCATATCTCATGTTATGTTTAAACACTACAAATTGGTCACACTTTTATCAGTTTTCCCTGTTTTAAGAGTAAAAATAAGGAGAATGTGTATTTGTTTACAATAACTTGGCCATCTGTTTTCTTTTCCAGTCAGTAGGCCTAGCTTGCAAATTAGAAATACATTCGCATTACCAAATATCACTTTTGAGGTATATTATATAATATACCTCAAAAGTGATATTTGGTTCATAATACCTTGCATGCTATAATAGCATGCAAGGTATTATGAAAGATCAATGTTGATGATTTTATTTTTGCAGCATTCTACCAGCAGAGGGAGTCATTCAGTTTCTAAAAGAAGGTACAAGTAAAGAGCAGATGCTGCATAGACATTATTGAACCATTTGAGGACACCAGTCTATGGCCTTCTAAATTAAGGCCACATTACTGCAGGGAGCATGACCAGGCAGATCCTTCTGGATCAATTATGCTTAGTATAAGTTAATTTGCATGTTTTTTTCAAGGTTAACACATGGCTTAATGTCGTCAAACAGAACAATTGAATGTACATATTTTTTGCTGAAAAAAAAGTAAAACATTGGAATTCTGTTGTGAAGAACCTTATACAGTAGTTTATAAAAAGTGCCAAAAAAGCCAGAAATCTCCCCACCAGATATCATGGTCATTACTTTTGTCATACCCATCCCACACACAAAATGTCCAGTATCCACTCATTAAAGTTGTTGGTGTGGACAGAGTGGGAGAGGCAGGGCAAATGCTGGGCGTGAAGCTGTGGAGTGGGAGTAAAAGTCTAAGTCATGCCAGTTATGGGGGCAGTAATCCTCATGTAACTACTGTTTAAGTTCATTGCTTTAGAGTGCTTTTTGTGGTCCAACAAAGGACACAAATTAGATAAAAAAACATGTCTTTGCTTAGTCAGATATATTTTATTTTCATTTACAAATAATAATGCAAAGATACAAAGACAGAAGCCTTCACACAAGAAAAATACATCAGGTACAGTTCAAACAGAAGCTTATTTCATCTTTAATATAGCACACATTTACAGCCAACTTGGATTCTTTTGGTCCGATTTGACAGTTAGAATAGAAAACACACAATTTGAAGAACAAGGTTTGAACCAGTTATCTTTAAAGGGTTATTTCAAAAAAAGTACCAACTTGCCAAGCTGTGCTGCAGAATGCTAGATTTTGCATATTCTATGAGCATATTGTTTCCTGTTGCTGAGAGTGTACTATTGGAGCATAGTGCACTCCTCCACGACAGTAAAATGCATGTGCAGTGTTTGGAATAGTATCACTGTACTCAGAAACCAAATACATAGTATAACAATTTAGCTGCCATTGTATGAGGCTTGACCAGCAGCGGGCTGTCCTCAAAATGCACACAAAGGATTTAAAGATGGGGGTAACCCACCGAGACTGTATACGACTATGACCGTTTATCTTCCTGATTCACTTTATGTTTTACCCATAGACTGTATATATAAAGGTTTAAATTTGACTGTACAGTATTTGAATCTGCTATTTCTTATGTTATTTCTTACTGTATGTCTATGTTTTTTTCTCAGACAATATGTATATAGTAATAATCACTACAAAATAGTGTTCGACGGCAGATTTATAAAACAAAGCAAAAAACAAAATACTTAATTTAAAGCAAAATACAATAAGTCAGGGTATTTTCAGAGATATTTTGAAATTCAGCATCATGCAGAAAAAGATTCCCCAGGTAGTGGATAAGATATGTCAGTCACAGCTCAAGTGATGCAATTATCTGAAACAATGTTCAATGTAAACAATGCGTTGTAACATGTATGGTTTGTATATGAAATAATTTCTACCACCATATTATATTTTGAAAAACAAAAGGAGTGTTTCAACAGTTAGAAGGGTAAAATGTCTAAGTATTCTCTCATTTATGGCTGTGGACTTTGGCTTTTTGGTATAACTGTTGACTTAAAACATAAAGAATATACAGTGCTGATGACAGATTTATTATAAAACTAAATTGAATAAAATCTAAATATTACCCATCTTGGTAAAAGGAACTTCTGATGGCATGTAACTGCTCATAGCAAGTATAAGAAGAATAATTTCTGCTAAATGAAAGTCTGTAAATATAATAAAAAGTGCTTCAGGGCCTCAAAATGCTTATGAATGACGTCCAAAGGAAATATAAGGAATCCATGTAACTTTAAAACCTCATGATATAGAATATATTATTATGGTCATAGTATCCAAACCACATTACTAATTCACTTTAAATCTCACTAACAAGAATCATGTTGCTGTTCTACACTGTAAGTGGTTTGTATGTAGTTGGTTATTCCAGTATTTAACAAAACATTTGTATGGAGAAAAAAACCAAACATTGCTTCGTTGTAAACTCTTGTCTCTGTAAACACTGGTATAATACCAATGGAAACCTTAACGTTGGTGCATATAAAGGTGACACGTCAGTCAGAGCTATTTACAAAAGCACAAAAAGGTTCAAAGAAATACCAAAACAGAAAATGGACCTACAAAGATGTCAGGCTCACGGTAAAGTCTGAGGTCCAGCAGATAATTCAGAGTCACAATGACATATTGCAGCACAGTTTTTTCAGTGCATTTTCTTACTTTGACATCATATCACATAAAGCACGAAAAACATTGTTTCTACCATACAGAAATATACAAAGCTAGTCTAAATTTACCATAACATAATAAACTCTGTGGGTGTTCCACAGAAAATAAGCACATACTGTATATTGCAGTGTAAAACATAGTACCAAACAACAGCGTCTACGTGTGCATAACAGGCTAATTAACATATTTCCAATGCTTTTAGGCTTTACTAGCAGTTACATTAGCCTACACATGATGCTGAATTAAAAAAGACAAAGGACCAAATTACCAAACAAGAATAACAAAACACTTCAACAAAAAAAAGCGACTCCAACCTCCAAAGGAAATAAAACCCAAGCCGAAAGAGGAAACATGTCCACATATTCATGCAGTCACAATATTATTAAAAAAATGACAAAGAAAAAACACTGCATCAAAATTCAGAAATGTGATGCACCCAAAACAGTTTTTTTTAATCTTCCAACTTTAAAACTTAACTTGAACTGATTGGGTCTTCCACATTAGTCAGAAAAGTTTTGATTTACATTATGTGAGAGTAACAGTGGAATATGTTTGCACAGGAGGACCTTGACACACATCAACAGAAACAGATGTTGCAGCTACACGATTCTTTCATAATGTGAAATTAACCTATATTCATTTCAGTGGCATGTAATTGATTGTTACACCTGGACTGTATTACAATATAAATTCCATAAAATATTTCCAGGGACTGGTTGATCCCATCTGGCACGATTTTGTGATTAAAATAGGCACATTTCAAATGTCACTTCGCTGTACCTGGATCTTTAATTACTTCAATTATAAACTTTTCCTTTGCTAATCACTTTATTATAAATATTTTTCTAGCTTATTTAGTTCTATTTTTTTAAACCTGCTATCAATAGCAAAAAGAGCTGCAGCAACAAGACCGACACTCTCCCAAAATACAAATGTTTTCCTACATTTTGGAAAAACTGTGTTACAGCAGACAGCTAACAAAATACTCACCGATTATGTAAGAACTGCTCTTTTAAATAGACTTTCTGTATATTACTTTTCAAAAATAACTTTAGTTTAATTTAGCTTTTTTTCATATGCATTTTCTTTTTCTGGGTTTTTTTTTAACAAGAAGGCAAGTTTAATCAAAGACAGGGCAAACAGGTCTGTAGCTCTAACAGTCGGGGAGAGGTTTGGTATATAAACTCTCAAATAAAAATGTTGAAGTCAATGCATAAAGTGCATTATGAGAGACGGTTGTGAGTGAATCCAATGGATCCGCACACTGAAAAAAGGATTTGGAGGATTTGAAAAAAAAAACAATAGATGAAGTCATATAAACTCAGAACCAAAGCCCGGAGACAAATAAATCGAAGAACGGCACAGACCACACGAGCATGACGAGGAAACAGATATTCAGTGTCACTGTAGTACCAAGGAAACAAACACAGTCACATATAGATCAGTATGCCACATCTCCTTCAAAGGGAGAACAAACAACAGGTGGAACATATTTGGTCTTACAGTACATAAAGGCTAGAGATGAGAGGCAATGACGATGACAGGATGGCAACAACACAACTGTACAGATGTGACCTAAATACATTCTCATTGCGTCAACAATGCTGTTCTAGTATAGAGGCAGTTCAATTGTCTGGAAAAATATATATATCTCAACTACACTGAGGTCACATCTTTGGGAGGAAACCAGGAGAGTTTTTACTGTATGACACGACCACTGAGCATTTCTTTCTCTACACTGTCGAAGTCTAAAAGGAAAATGTAAAGAGTTTCAAAACTATTAAAAAGAAATATGACATGGCACCATTACTGTGCGTTTATATGAACTGTGCACATTGGCTTCCTTTTCTAAGGTTTCATTTTATCCGTTTCATTTTACAGTCCTAAACCAATTCCCTGTAGTTTTGCATAGATACTATTACGCAAAACCTAATCACATTCTGTACGTGTAAAATATAAAACATAACAAGCCTGTAAACATGTACTTCATAACAAAGAACTTAATGACATGATGGTAGTGACAATGGATGAAGTAATGGGTAAAGATCAGCGCACTTGAAAAATACAACGGCAGTAATGCAACTGTGAATTATGTAGGCCAAACCAAACAGTAAAAATGACTGGACATTTAGCATTCTTTTCTCATTTACATTTATTTTTTTATTTAACCTTTATTTAACCAGATACAAAGCATTGAGATAAAATCTCATTTACAATGCTGACCTGGCCAAGAAGGCAGCAACGTTACATAATAGTCATCTTTGCATGAAAACAAAAATGTCAAGCTATTAAGGCAAAACAAGTATGCACAGTGATTTGTGATTTCATGCATAATTTATGACCACTATTTACTATGGTAAAATCTGAATTCAGCTTCTCCTTAAAATAAATTAGGTGGCTAAATAATGACTCATCGTTATCGAGACTTTAGAGGAGATTTGGGATAAATTAAACCAGGCCTGACTTTGGCTTATATGACAAACTACAAAGGGATTAGCACTTAATTAAAATCCAAACTGAATGTACCGGTGAGTGCAGCCAACTGGGATCGGAGGGAGGGTCAACTTGACAGGTGTTTCCTCTGAGTCATCGAGCCATACCAGCTATTCTGTAGATTGTTAGGGTTTGCTCCGCCGACATGGTTTAGTCAGTCAGTTCAGTCAGTCAGTTGATGGAGAATAGGAGCCCAGCCTCCTTTTGCCTTCATGATATTTCCATCAAAATCCCTCAAAAGATAAATATGTGCCATTTGCAAAAGAAAAGTAGTGACAGAATCATGAATATTTCTCATACCTTAACTTGAATGTCATCAGTCGTAAATCATCTTTCCAGGTTTTCAAGGTTTCCAGTCTTCAGAAAAACTTCAAAGCAGGGTGTTTCTTTTAAAAGCTCTCTCAGGGGTTTGATTGGTTGGTTGGTGTGGAATCGAAGCTCTGCCAAGACGAGGTCTCGACCAGAAGAAAAGAAGAAATCTGCTCCTCTTGGTTTTATCCCGTCAGAAACAAACAATCCCCTGTCTCCCTCCCAGGGGCAGCAGCATTCACACACCTGTGCATGAGCCTGTGGTGCAGAGGTTAGAGCCGGTCGAGGCGGAATGCGTCCTCTGTGGCGGGGTCGGTGAGAATCATGTCCGGGTCATTAAGCATGTGCAGGCCATCGAGCGTCAGCGGGTCGATTTTCAGGTCGTCCAGTGGGAACTGTGAGTCGATGTCGAAGCTGACATCTGTGGACAGACAGCCGGTCAGGTCCTTGGGCAGGCTGGGGGGGGACTCTCCGCTCACTGGAGAAACAACACAGCAAATTAATAAATACAATATTATCAGGATATTTATCTGAAAAGTTTTTAGATGCGCAGCTCCTCTGTCTTGGAATAGTCTGCAATTGAAATGGAAACTGAGCAATCTGGTGCCACTAAATGTTTTTAAAGCTCGGTTGGATGCTATTCAATCGGAAGCTGTTGGTACCTGTTCATGTGGATAGTTATGTAAATTGTAAATCCCTGTAATGATGCTGTAAGATGTCCTTTTTGTTGTTCTGTTTATGTTTTTATGTTTCATGTGGAACCGACTTGAGCAGGTCTCCCTTGAAAAAGAGGTCAATGATCTCAATGGGATACACCTGGATAAATAAAGGTTTGAAATGAAAAATGAAATTTAAGGGGGAGATGGACGGCTTCCTGAATTTTCAATTTATAAAAGAAACAAGTGTGGGTTGTGATTATATAAAAACTTCATGTAAGAGGCTTGACTTCTTAATTACACATTTCTTTTAACAACAGACACTGTAAGGGTAAATTCAGTTGGACAAAAAATTCCTGTAACATGCTTTTTTATTTTAATGCACACATTTTAGTGTGGGATTCATCAGTGCTCTCCAGTAATTCCGATCTCACACTATTACATTATCCTTCAAATATATTAATCCCCCATTGAGTGTCGGATTATTAAAAATCGCAGGCAATTTAAAGCCAAATGGTTGTATAACGGTATAATCTAATGCACGTAACATCCCTGCAATGAATCATATCAGATGTTGTTTGTCATGGTGTCATAGTATCTGTCAGTATATCATGATTTTTCAGGGGGTTTTGGACAACAAAGGCTTTTCAACAGAAGCAGCTGTGTGCCACAGTCCTCTACAAGCCGCTTGCGGTGAGACTAAGTGAGCTACATGATCTGTCGAGGAAGCAGCACCTGTGAGAATGATGTTGGGGATGTTGCCATGGCTACTGTAGCCAAGCTGCTGCGAATCCTGAAGGTTGCAATGGCCAGTCAAACCCATCATGAGCGCCTGGGAGTAGTTGAGGGTGGAGGTCTGGTTATACAGGCTGTCAGAGCTGATGGGCGTCTCCATCATGTTGAACTGCTCCAACTGGAACACAACAGAAAGAAATATTACAATAATATCAGGCATGTAAATGCTCCAAAGCAGGAATAAACATGGACACTTGTATCTAAGATGAAGAAGAAGAAGACATATTTTATTAATCCCCAACGCTATTCATATCTACCTGTTGCGACAGAACACTGGCCTGAATGGACGGGAGCTGCTGGTCGTAAAAGTCTGCAAACACGCTGCCCAGGATGGAGTTATGCTGCAACAACAAATAAGCCAAATGTTTAATATCACTCTGGTTTAAAAAGACAAAACTCCTGGTGCGGACCAACAACTATGAACATCATCCGGGCAGCAGAAGTTATACATCAAACATAACATTTAGAATATGAAAAGGTATGGCAGCAACAAGGCTGAAACAAGATCTGGAAACGCTCAACTCATGTATGCTAATGCACTTCTGTACATGTATGATATAATGATTGCGTATATATTGCAGAGAGGAGTAAGCTGTGCATTCATACATATTTCTGTAACTCTGTAGTATTACATAGCTTAATGAGGATGGCACACAGAGGAAGCAGTAAATGTTCATGTAACAAAAACATCATTCAGGAGCAACTTCTTTATTCACAATTAAATAAGACACACACGGAACAATGTGACAACCCACTGAGGAATTTGTAGCTGGCTGTTTCAATAATAAATGCAAACTAAACCAGTCCCTGCGATGTTTGCAAAACCGTGCAATATTTACAGTTTGCTCTGATATCCAGGTGTAGCAGGCGTACATCCACTATCACAAGTAAAAGTGCATGAATATTCCATTTCATTGTATTTATCTCAAGAACAGTTAAATATTGCATGGAAATGATTTTTAAACCTGAACGAAAAATAGCCTATTGGTGCATAATGACTAACCAGATAAATGAATGAATTACAAACAAATGAATAAGGGACTTCATTAATTATATGAATCCCTTCCTCATGATCCCAATGGTCATGTACACTAACCACTGACGTCAAAATCAGTCGGCTAAAGATAAGGACGGACAAGCTTTACTTCCAAAAGGCAGCTTCTTCCTCTGCTGCCTACTGGCCTTGGTGTTTTAATTAACAATGACTAAATGGAGTGAAATTTGCATGAAATAAAGGGAATCATTGAAAATATAATCCCCTCTGTGACTTTATTCTCCCCCCACTGACTCATCCAGTGCAAGCTAATCCTCGTCAAGTTTCAGTGTCCTCATTGAACCAGCGACAGAAATTCTCCTATTTCATCGCGGCCTCTTAATGTATAAGTAATTGGATCATATTCTCAGGCCGTGCTCCTCCTAGTTCAAAACCAAATTATCTGTGTGTGCTGCAGATGTCCCCACAGGGCAGAGCAGCATAATACAGCACACAGCCTGTCAGCTGTGGATTAGCCTGTGGATAAACTCAGCACCACGAGTGAGACACTTCAGATCAGCACAGACCTGAGTTTGGTAAGCAAACAGCAGCACACACACATGTGAAAAGAAAATGCATATACACCCTCACTTACCACTTCCTTCATCTCAAACACACGCATAGTGGTAATTGTAAATTAGTAGAATCAAGATAATGCTAATTTTAAATGCTATCTTAATCTGGTTCAGTACTTCATCTAAAACTGTACCGTTTTCCTTAAAGACAAATTCCAGTACCGTGTTTTACAAATGTTAAATGCTTATACTAAAGACATGGATTAACCACCCTGATTATGTTTACCTTGGGTGTGCTTAGTTTATCTTAAAGCACCACCCTGATAGCAAGGTGCAGTTTGTTGAGTTTGTTAAACCAGGGGAATTAGAAGCAGCTTTTCTTTAAAGAAACGCATTGAGGGGATAAGAATATCATATACCCGCCCATGCTACCTTAGACCTCAATGCTGGTGCAAAAACCACAATAAAACACAAAAATCTGACAAACATCAACAACAACAAAAACTCGGTGTACGGTGTCTTACATAGCAAGACTTGGGAGGAGACAGTGGAGACGCAACCCAATACCACAAGAGCAGCAGAAGAGGAAGGTCAGGGGAACAGCTACATAACAATACACCAATGACACTGTGTTTAAAGAGACTGGTAGTTAGATCTCGGCAAAACGACATAATGTCCATTATATCTATAACTGGAATCACATCATGACACGGTTTTTCATCATGTTTCGTGATATACTATCATTTTTTTTTCTTCGTGATCTCTAAGAATGTTTTCTGAAATATTTTGTTTGACCTCCTTTTATTGTGTTATAGCCGGCAGGTGTAATAATAGTTATAAATAATCAGAATACCGTTGCGTTGGGAAATTACACTGAGAGAAAACACCTGCCGTGAATTTCCTGCTGTGACACACTAAAAAGTCTGAATGAGCAACTGTACGGCATATAATATTTACAGAAACAAAATAAACACTATAAATAGCCTGTTTTGAATTGTCTTGCTCATGTTCTTGAATAAACTGACATGCTTTTGTTTGCCCAGATCTGCTAACGTCAACACAACACAAGCAGTTGTAGGGGTGGGGGGGGCAGCCACAGAGCCCTACTCGCCAACGATAACCACAGGACTACGATGCAGGGACCGTGACGTTTAAACAGAGCGAGGCAGCAGCTCGCTGGTTCACACGCCCTTACTTGAGGCGAGCCTCCAGGTGAGAAGCCTTGATTGGAGACGGGGGAGGTTGGAGACTGATTGGCAGAGGATCCAATCCTACTGCGGTACTGTTGGAGGGAGGAGGCCTGATACAAGAGGACATGTTTGAGTTATTTACATTGGAGGGTGTTCCTTATTGGGGAACGTGTAGATGTGCTCATATTGGACATGTCTTTGTGGTACTTTTTTCCAGTTGCAGCTGGATAAACAACATGTACCCTGCCTGAGGACTAACTAAAATATTGACTCCCTGTTTTTCATAGTTGTAACCCAGCATGCTAGCATCTAATGCTGAAAAACAATTAAAATAATTAGAGTGATGAACAGCACATGTCACATTGATGCATTAGTAATACTGAAAAAGATCTGGGAGAAACGGAGAAAGCTACAGGGGATTAATTAGGAGCGGAGAAATGTTGCCAGCCATGCTAGCTAAACAAGTGAATACTGTGAAAGAACTGGAGGATCAGAAAGAACCGACACCCTTTTGTAATCTTCAGTCATAGTTGCCCGTTTCAATCTACTCGTCCAACCGAAAAATAACATTTGTAGAAACTAAAAAAACAATGATTTTATTTGGATCACAAGATCAAATTGACTTGAGCTATATCATAAAGCCATAACTGTGGAAAGAAAATATCAAAGTTACTATCACAGTAAATAACAGATACACTATCAAATCACTGAGGTTTAAAGGTGTATCAAACAAGATTTATAATCTCTTATCATGCAAAAGCCAACAGGAGTTTCAACCTCCTTATTTCTAATCTATAGATAGATAAGATATCCAAATATTGGCAGCATGAGATAGAGAAGTGATAAAGCTGTTCAAAGCCTCTGGAAGCAGAAATAAACTAGTGCAATGACCCTTTCTGGAGTAGACCTGATTGAACTCATGAAACTGAAAGAAATATTTTTCAGAATTCATTTTACATTGCTGTAACTGTATTTGATGGAGACCTGAAAAATACAGCTTAGAAATGTAAACAAACTATCAAAATCATCTCTGAAACAAAGTGGTACATCTAGGCCGGGGAACCATTGAACGTTAGATCTAAGCTGGTGTCGTGCTGTGTTTCCTCACAATGTTTCACTTGACCCCACACTGCAATAACTGAGACCAAGAGAATGTAGGCCACTTCATTTCTGCACTTATCCAAACACATTCCCACTGCAGCAGAAGAAGAGCAGCGAGAGCCAAGATCTGAAGGATGTACGGTGCCTTGTAAAAGCAGTCTGATTTCTTGTTGTCCTACACATTTTGTTGTGTTATAATGTCATTATTTGGGAGTATTTGTCTCAGCTCTGTGCAAAATAAAAAAGATTTGAATTGAATTTAAAGGTCCCCTATTATACTGTTTTCCATCAATATATTATAGGTCTCAGATATATACAAAACATGTCTCTGAAGTGTTTGGCTCCAAACACCAAACAGATCATTGTCGCATCCCATAATCCCCTCTGTTTCAGCCCTGTTTCAAAAGTGCTGATTCTCTGTCTGTTACTTTAGATCAGTGCTTCTCAAAGTGTGGTCCGCGGACCACTGGTGGTCCGTGAGCGCCCCCTAGTGGTCCGTGAGTATATTGGTAACATTTCACATTTGAAATAAATACATTTATTTAAGTTTTTCGCACTCTCGCGGGAATATCTCCGCAATGGAACGAGCTTAAGTTTCACTTTCGATTGCATGATATAGCCCAGATAAACACCTTCATCACACATGTTGCCACTTGTTTGTACAATTTTCAGGCGATTTTTAAAAAACGATGTGTTTTTGGATATTTGTGGAGTTAGGTGGTCCGCGAGTGTTTTTTTATTGGTTAAGTGGTCCTTGGTATGAAAAGGTTTGAGAAACACTGCTTTAGATGAAAATAAGGAGCCACTCCCCACGCCCCTCAGAGATATTTGGTTAAAAAGAAACCAATGGTGCTCTAGGGGGAGATTCAGGCGATAAGGTGGGGGTGTTACCTTGGTTGCTGATTGGCTAATGGTTATACAAGCCAAAAAAACATTATGACATCACAAAATAGCAAACATCTGATCAGCTCATTTTCAGACAGGTTTTTATATAAATGGATCAGGACATAAAGAGAGAAAATATTTTTTCCTGAAACTTTCAGAGTCTCTTTACACAGAGGGGACACATGTTAACGTATAAAAGACGTGAAATAGTGGATTTTGCACAATAGGTGACCTTTAAAATTGCAAAATACACACTCAATATACATTTTTATTTTCTTTCCTATGTGATGGTAAAGATCCCTATGAAACTCCAAATGCACTCTTCTATATATAAATATAATGTATATGCGAAGGGGTCTGAATATAAATTTGACAGGACAATGTGTATCATCAAGAGCAACACATTGATGCTATCTGAAGACACATTTTCAGGAACAAATAGCGATCGGGATAAGCTGATGTAATGCAGACAGGCTGCTCACCGTGTTCATGTCCACCGTCATGTTGTTTTGTGAGGACGTCTGGTTGTCTGACGTGGAGCAGGAGTTCACCAAGGACTGTAGCTGGACCAGACCTGTCTGCTGGACAAAAAAGAGCGGGCTCATAAATAAATACAGACACTGTGTACTTATCAGGTATCATTTTACAGTTCTGATACTGGCTTATCACTGACTAAGTACATCAATATCTGCTTTTATAGTATGTTGGCAGATCTGATAAACCAATTAAAACATAATTGAGGTCCTTACCACCAGCTGCTCTTGCAGTAATAAGTAGTGTACCTTTCTTACTGTCCAAAATGTGCACAATGTAGTGACTGCTTTCCGTCTTTTTGTTTACTTAGTTGTGTTCTCTGTACTTTACATGTCTTTGTTATGTGTAATAATGTGTAACGTTGCTGCCTTCTTGGCCAGGTCAGCATTGTAAATGAGATTTTATCTCAATGCTTTTTATCTGGTTGAATAAAGGTTAAATAAAAAAATAAAAAATGTTGATATGATTATGTCTATTAGACTACACGGCTTATTTAAAGTTGTTTTTCAATTGGTTTATAGTTCCAACTTTACAGCTATCTTATACACTCCATATGCAAATATCCTGTATATCAAATCTTGTACATGTGTTTGACACAACGCTTAAATAAGTACATTTAACACATTTGGTTTACATTATGTCAAACAAATGGCAAACATCGTTATAAAAACGTGTTATGCTCAAATATTAATAACATAACATTAGTCAGAATAAGACATCATAGGGGCCTCATTTTTTACTCATGACCATATCAACAAATGATGTTGAATCATTATTATTTATGAACCGCAGCTGCTGCAGTGTACATCAGAGAAAATGTTCCTCAAAGGGCTTTCTTCAGTATCTGAAGTGTTGATCCAAGGACACGGAAGAGTTTCCTCATTGCAGGAAAAATTGATGGTTTTGGCTGCGCTTTAATAAGCAGAATTATATTAGCTCTTTCCTATTACAACAGTGTTTTCTAGTAGGGCGCCCTGAGTGTAGTGCAATCAGTGAGGGAGAGAGAAGTGTCTGCTGAGGCTTAACAACAACTCAACGACAAACATGACTGAGGTCTCTGCCTTAAAAGGTCATTTGAGACTAAATGTGTTCTATTGGTGTTCTATTGAGGTACTGTTGGTATGCTGTCAGTCAAATTATTGAAAAATAACATGCTGGCTGTAGATTTGAGATATATACACAAGCCTATAATGGGGTGAACAAAATCCTAATGTGTGGACAATGTTGACCTATAACATCAGTTTATTCTATTATACAATATCCACTTTTTCATGTCTTTTATACATAAACATGTGTTCCCTCTGTGTAAAGAGATTCTGAGAGTTTCAGGAAAAAAGATTCGCTCACATTTAGTCCTGATCCATTTATATAACAACCTGTCTGAAAATTAGCTGATCAGATTTTGGCCACTTTATGATTTCATAACGATTTTTTGGCTTGTGTAACCATTTGCCAATCACCAACCAAGGCAACACCTTACCACCTGAATCTCCTCCTAGAGCACCAATGTGTTCTTTTTAACCAAATATCTCTCAGAGAGGCGTGGGGAGTGGCTCCTTATTTTCATCTAAAGTAACAGACACAGAATCAGCACTTTTGAAACAGGGCTGAAACAGAGGGGTTTATGGGATGCTACAATGATCTGTTTGGTATCTCGAGCCAAACACTTCAGAGACATGTTTTGTATATATATCTGAGACCTATTATATATTGATGAAAAACAGTATAATAGGGGACCTTTAAACAGCAGTGATGGGTAAAAATCATGCTTTTCATTGCAACCCTGTTATTTGCATACTGCAGTAATAGGACAAAACTTAACAATTGTTGCCAGCAATTCAAAGAGTAGTTAAACTCAATAGTTTAAAATGGCAAGAATGAATGCACTAAAGGATAAAGTGCTGGAGGGAAACTCACTTGCTGGCTCTGGTGGTTCTGGGACGACGGCTGCTGGTTGAAGAAGGTGTACTGCGACAGCTGCTGCTCAAGGTTCATGGCGTTGATGGCCGCCTGAGGGGAGCACAGCAACCAATAACACATGAGGTTACGCTTAACAGGAAATGCAATAACACCAGCACAGTTGAATGATTTGCGATGCATTATCTCCAAATCAATCATTTAAAAAAAATGTTATTGCTGCCAATTGAAACATTGCTTATTCACACTAATGGCGCATTTCCATTGCAGGGCCTCGGTCGGCTTAGTACGGTATAGTTAGGCCTTGTTAGGCCAGGCTCACTTTATGCTGCATTTCCATTACAGTTTAGTAGCTGGGGCAGTAACTATTGTAACGCAGTGCAGGCGGAGCCGTGACGTCATCTTCAATGCGAACCACAGAAAAACAACATCAGCCGTTAGCTGTTAGCACTCAAGCTCACAGCTCCTCATATCTGTTCAGAAACTAGACAAAAGTTAAACAAGTATACAGTCACTGGTTTATTTATGTCTGTATAGGGCGTTGTTGTGAGTGTGGACGGTCGGAGCATATACTGCGTTAGCTTAGCCAATCTCCATTCAGAAAACACGCATTTTAAAAGGTTTTTCGCCTGCCGTCTTGTCTGCAGATTTGTCAAAGCATTAATTCATGGTTTTTACTAACCGGTATCAGTATATTGTTACTTCGGCATCATTTTGAAACGTGTATTATAATTAAATCACGGTCAAATATGTTCATTTTGTTGTAGTTGTACTTGTAGCCCCCTTGCCAGCGATTCTCTCTCTCTAGTTTAACATACTCAGCCCGACTCAGCCTGGTTGTTGGCCCTTGGCATAGGCAGTATAGGCGAATGCTAAGGGCGCATCAATCAATGGGGGGGCGCCGAAAATAAAATAAAAAATAAAAAATTTGAAATAAAAAATTATTTCATAACAACACAATTTCCCGATTTTGGATCAACAAAGTACATCTTATTATCTTATACTAACAGAACTACGCCTATATTGCGTACAACGTCCATAAACTATGGCGCACCCCCCCGCCCCAAAATCAAGTTGAACCGCCCCAGCCCCAGTAAAAACCAGAGAGGTTTATGTGAAATAGTTCTTTTTTTGAAATAATGGTTTTAGTGTGCAATTATAGGTTTTCATTTGGTATTTGTGTTAATTTAAAATAAATCAAACTCCCAAAAAACGTATACAGCTTTTATTAACATTGGAATTTACTGTGTAAGCGGCCGCGGGGGGGAGAGCTTTAGAGAGCTCTCTCCTGAAAGACTGAGAGGCTCTGATAACCTCAGCTCAGTGAGGTAAAGGCACACCTTTATATGATTATAGTTATAAAAAAAACAAGAGAATAGATTTTCATCTATTCTCTTATAGTATAAAATACTATATGACAGTAAAAAAAAGTTGTTAATAAATTAATAAACAAGATTACAGTTTAAAAGGGGAGTGATTTGTAAAATATCCATAAAGAAAAAGAAAATCTGCTTGCAGTTCTGTTTCATATGGGTGTTGAGAGATGTATCCATAGATCTCTTAATGTTGCTCTCAAAGTGCACCAGATTGATGCTTTTAACTTCAATATTAAAAATATATATCTTCCCGGACGAACCCCCAAGAGGAGGTTAGGTGCACCCCCTACTTTAATCATGTTCAAATGGATAGGATACTAAATACATTTGCACACATCTTGTGTCCATATCTTTCTGTTTTGGTGATCATGCCACAACCGTGCATGCATGCGCGAGTCATAGTGAGTGTCTGCATTTTGGGGGGGAGTTGCCAGCTAAAATCTTGCTGAGGGCAGCAAATTGGTCAGGGCCGGCCCTGAGAGTACCTGAGAGAGAGAGAGAGGTGGAGATGTCGGAGAGAGCTGCAGGTTCTGGTGCTGGTGGGAGTCTCCTGCATTCAAGATGAGAGGAACCATGTCGTCCTGCCCAGACTGGATTTCCATGGTTACTACGGGCTGAGAGGTATTCACTCCTACCCAGTTCACAGAAATGGCACAAGGAAAGAATTTTTTTTCATCGAGAAATTGGCATGAAGTGCTAAATGAAATCTGAAGTATTTAACGTCCTGCACATAACTATCTAATCTGACGTTTTCTGGATTAAATGTAAGCAGACTGTCCCTGGTGCTACCTTGCGTGTTGGCCAGTGCCTGTGTGCTGTTGGAGGAGCTGAACGAGCCGGCCACCACATCATCTGAGTCGAGCGGGGTGGGCAGCGGAGGAGGAAACTGGATGTTTGTCAGGTCGGGAAGAGAACCGCCAGTGTTGTGGGCTGCCGGGTTTAATGAAGTGGTCAACTGCTGGTCAGGAGATGGGAATATGCTGCAGAAATCAGAAGAATGCAGGGCAATTGTTGGTTAAAACACTCACACACGCTGGCTGATGTCAATGACAAAATGAAGGAACAGAAACTTAAATATGTGGTTTTCTGAGCAACATTTGGAAATGTTTTCCAAGACAAACAATGCCAGAGATATTTGGACATCATGCATTTGGACAGTCATACTTTTGCAAATGCTTTGGCTCCGGACTCTTATTACTTTGGCGGAGAAAACCAAAAATATGTTCAATTACTGTCAGATGGTTTCAATTTGAATGTACTCAATATTAAGGCGGCCTGTGCATACTAAAACGCCATTTTCAATTCACTTTCACCAACAGAGATTAAGAAAAACGTTTCCTCACAGCCTAGGAAGACATTAAAATACTCACTGGATCCCTGGAACTTTGCAGGGTTTGGATCTTGAAATGTTCTATAGAGAAAAAAACAATTAACAACCAGACTTTTGTGAAAACCACAGATAAAAACTGAAAAAACATGTATGTGAGTGTAGAGGTTCCACCTTTTTGCACTCCCAGTTTTGGTTTTGACCATTTTCATCAACTTCCTGTTTAATTGCTTCAGCCCCGGGGACAGTGAGCAGGAGAACTGAAGAGATGGAGAAATAACAACAAATGCAAACAATTATCATAGACTCTGGACTTAAAAGATGTCCAAACTGTTGGAGTTTATTATATGCACAGCATACGTGTCTTCGGTTAATATAACCAAGGGATATTTACATTTGAAAAGAACAAAAAGGAAAGGTGGAAAAGAAAACTGATGAATATTAATGTGGCGTTACTAAAAGTACAAATATTGTTTTAAACTTGAATACTGAATGGCAATAATGGACCAAACTAAAAAATGTCTCCAAGAAGATTTATACAAATGTAATCAAAGTACTCCTGAAATGGGAATAATCGGCCATTAGCAGTAAAATTCATCAGGTACTTGGATGCACTCTGTCCTCTCATTTTCCTCCTCTGCCTTCAAAGCAACATCCAGACCCTTTCATCACACCCTGGAGGGCACTCGACTGAACCGTCAAGAGAAAGCAGCACAATACCAGAAAATAAAGAAAGAAAACATACAACAACACATCCCTACCTACTGCAGATGAAAGGAGGAAAATATGATATGTTTCACACTATATAAATTATATAATATAAATAATATACTATAAAATATACTATAAAACAAATGAGATAATGCGTACATCTTTTTGGCTGGAGCTCCTGGGATCCTCCTGTAAACAAGGCCTGCTGGGCCGGAGTTAATGTGCTCTGGTGCAGTGCTGAGTCAGAGTTCGTCCTGCAGCACAAAAATTAAAAAAGATTACAAAGTGCTTTGTATAGTAAAGTCTGAGAAACAGATACGGTCTGTTGTGAAGCAAAGACACCGCTCACTGTAAACACAGTAAGACATTTTAATATTATATACTGTAAGTTTACGCATTAAAACAACAATTGTTAACACAACTTAGTCATGCTAACCTTTAGCTACTTTAAATAATTTTGCTTTTTAACACATAAAATAATCTGAATGTGATCCTGGATCTTATAATATCTCGTGATGAAAATCTAAATGCAGCATGATGGTAAACTGTGAAAGTAGGTCACTAAATGTGTGATTGTGCAACATGTTTATGTATAACGTCAATTAAGATAACAAAAGTCTTGTGTTATGTTCCAAATGTGTCTTTCTGATCTGACCATGCATATTTCTAGGAAATAAAATATGCAAATAGTGCAGAGCAGTGTGTCGAGTTTGAATATGAAGGTTTATCATAATTATAAGCGTAAACTCTAAAATAAACAGTCATGCAGAGACGGCGTTTCCTCCTTAGAGACCGTCTTACCTCCTCCAGCTGGTATCAGGTGGTGGTGACAGATATACTGAACCATATGGACAGCTGTCAATGTGAGAATGCAGGTTAAGAAAAATCCAGCATGAGACCGGATACTCTTGGCGCATTCATTCCAGGAAAAATCTTTCAACACTAGGATGTATATTTTAAGAAGCACGGTGCTGGGGAAATAAACCAGCACGTGATCAAAGTGAGGGATAACGAAAAGTGAGGTCTGATATTAGTCAGAGTTCATTTGTAATACTGACTGATTATTGTAGATGCTGCTTATTACAAACAGAGTAATAATTTAGATTGAATTAATAATAGACTGAAGTCATTCTGCAATATAGAAGTATCTGAAACATCCATCAGCTACAAAAATCTTATAAAACATCATATAGCTTTGAAATGTTTAGTGATAGCTGATAGAAATGTGTTATATGATCCTATACAGTTACAAGGACTACCAGCTATAAAATATGTTCTGTTTTATGTCACACTCAACCCACTACTTGACTGAAGGCTGGGTTATGTATAGGTGGTTCTACAATGTGTTAAAATCATTTGAAAGGTGTGGAAAGATATTTATATTTCAATATAACAGGACTCGATTCAATTACACCACAGCCTGTAGTGGTGTTTTCAGAAAATATGAACACTTTTAAGCCAGTAATTCATTACCAATGCAAATCAAGGAATTGTCCTTAATTTACTTCAACTAAAGTGCATAATTTAAGAAAACACAGTATAATAACCATCACAATATTAACATAAAAATCCCATCTCAATTTGGATAATTATATTAAATGACTGTGAACTTTTGAACAGACTGAGGTTGATAAACATCTCCATAAATATAATGTTAGGGCTTGTTAGGGCAACAAAAAAAGAAACAACTTCATCCTAATATTATACAGCTCTCAGTATCTACATAAACAGCAAAGTAATCCGGCGGTATTAAAGGATATCTGGCGTCCATGTTTGTCAACAGACAGGGGTTTCTGGTGGGGGGATGTGATGCGGCTCCGGTCCCGGTAAACTCTGTCCACCAGCCCGTGGTGTCGCGTCGATCTGTTCATGTCCAGCCCTGAATTCTGAAAAACAAAGACAGGAACAAATATTATTTACTCGTCAAAGTGTGATTCCATAATTTAATTACCATTTTTTGTTTGTGAAGGTCTCTCTAACTGAGTCTGTGTATTGGACAGTACTGAATATGATGTGCAAAGACAACTAAAGCATTTCTTAAGTTTCGAAGTCATACATACTGCACTAGTTCATGTAGCTGGGCCCAGTTACACTGGCCTTGGCCCACAGAGAATAAAGCTTGGGTCTGATTAATGAGAAAAATATGTGCAGCATGTAGAACAGGGACGTAAGCCAATCAGAGAAAAATGTATATAGAAAACTGTGCAATGACTGTGAAAGTAAAAATTAAGATCAGGAAGGCCCTTTCATTCTGTTGACACGCACTTGTAAACGTATTTCATGAGTAACAACATGAGCCTTCGTTTTTCAGCTAACTCCCACCATCCTCTGTCTGAAGAGAAACCAAGAAAGCACTTTCTTCTTAAGTTGTTTGGGTTGTCAACCTGAGGGTCTCAGACCAAATTCTTTGTATCTCTGTCCCTAGAGAATGATCTTACTTATAAAGTAAAACAGAGGTCTTAGAAACAACTGATGTCCCTACATTGATCCCATGAATTACTATTAGGTTAAAGTAGTGTATTTTACTACATATTCATGTGATGGCAGTATATTGTTTACATACATTCTTCCAAGGATTGAAATGTTAATATTCATAGGAAAAGGTTCCCAGCTCTTTTTCACTGCAGCACTAGATGAGCATTTTTGAAAATGTCTTGATATGAGTTTAGACTAAGATATTCCCTAACCCAGCTTTATTCCCTTTGGCTTTTCACTCTGATATAAACAGATGGACAGAGATGATAGCATTGCCATATATTTTTTAGATGAAACCAACAACTTTCAAGCTCTGTCTTATTTTAATTTTATAACTATTCATTATTGCGCAAATTAAAAGAAAATTCCCCACAACTAGAAAATGCCTAGGTTCATTTGTATTTTTTTAAACTAACTTTTGCAACAGTTGCATGAAACTTGCATTCTTATCAAACAATTAGCCAACAATACACAACTGTGGCTATAATCTATTTACTTTGGTACGGCACATCATTGCTGTATCTCTTAAACGTCGAACCTGGCATCATACATTGCTGATATGTTGTGGGATAAATATATAAGGTTCAAAGTCATGGTGGAAGTCTCTTTCTCAGACACATGAATTATTATTTAAAAAATGCACTGCTGGTTTGGCATGTGCTCTTGTTCACATAATTGAACAGTGAGGATGTAACTTCTTCTGAGACAGATAATCTATCCCAGGAAAAAAGGATATAATTGTAGCTGTTTGAAAAAGAAAAAGTAAAATGTTTTATAGAGCGACGTTAATAAATAGTGCAGTCCAATGAATATTAATAATTATAAACTGTGGGTGATTAATGGAAAACATACTGTATAATGGATAAACCTACTAATTTATCATCTACATAGTATTTTACTTGTTAGTGAAAAGTTGCAAAAATAATAACAAAAAATTCCTTCACCTCAAAAGACATGTCCATAGCGCTGTTTCCAATCTGATTGACGTTGGGCAAAGATCCTCCATAGTACTGCCCACGGTTCGGTCCCAGCTGCAAGTATTGAGTTTTCTGCAACTGCAACTAGAAACAGAACAACATCAGGTAAAACTAGAGGCAAATGTGTAAAACTAGAGTCAATAATATAATTAATAATGGCAGCAAAATGAAAGAAAATACTGCAAAGTGGAAATGTTTACACTTTTATATTAATCCCACCTTAATCCCATTTGGGACTTTTAATTGTGTAAACAGGCAGCAACAATGAGAGCACCAAGCGTATTGATGTTTTCTTTATTAACCACCTGCGTGAGATAAACGCTAGATGTCTTCTGGCAAAGTACGAGGCAAGCTGCTCCATTTTCAGCAGTCATCCCAGCAGTGTGATGGGAATTCAAATACTTTTAAATGTGCGAGCACGTCAGAAATGATTCAACGTTGAACATTTCAAAAGCATATTCCTGAGAACTTTACAACTGTGTTTATTTCAAAGCGACCTCCAGCTTTATTTCAGATTAGAGAAACCATAACCGGTCAATTACATTTCCTCATGCAAGCCTACTGCTCACTGCTGGCAGGGCAGAACATCTAATAATGGCAATTACTATGCCTGCATCACTGGTGTTTTGTGATAAGCCTTCAACCTCAGAGTGCATCTCTGTATCCACATTCAGACCAACTCTGTTGACATAGGATTACTTATTGTAACATTTCAGGATGAGGAAGAGAGGAACCCTAATCTTTTCAAGAAATATTGCGATGTTTGATTTCCTCCATATTCTTCAACCCTACAACATTCGGACACAACTAAGTCATCAATTAGTATGTAGACAAATTAATAAAAATAGTGTGATTTTATAAATTGTGGTAATCTTTTATCACGAAAAAACACATCTGCCAAAGCTCCTTAACCAAGCCATTTTTACAGCAGATATTGTCATAGTAGGGAAAGCACAGGTGTTAATAATTACATTAAGGCCGGCATGTTCATCTCCAGCCTGAAAACAAATCAGCTAAATGGAATTCAGCCATCACTCATATTATTATTTACACCTGTGCCTTGCCTACTGTGACATGTTATGTCTCCTGTGGCATAGAGAGAGAGGAAGGGTTGTGTTTCGGATTTAGCCGGTTGGTCAGACTGAAATTGCAGTTTAAAGAGAGCGAAATCAATTGCTTGATATTAAAATAATACAGTAGCAGAAGCTCATTTGACTAGGATTACAAGAGGGATGTATTGAGAATATTTTTGGTCATTCTTCCTGTATATATTGCCAGCCAAAGCATTCAACAACCACTGCAGTAGCTGCATGTTTGCTGTTAAATGCTGTCTTCCCATCATTCTGTAGCACTCACTACTAAAGCCCTGCCTCCAAAGGATTTATTTTGGAGGCCTGTGCCGTATGTGGCTTAAATGTCCACATAATCTGCTAGCCTTCATCTTTTGTGAAAATGTCTATCATCATATTGCAGAGCACAGGCCTGAAGACCTGTCAGACAAGTTTTCCCAGCCACACACACACCTCATATCACACAGGCCTACATTACGAAAAATGTAAACATTACAGAATGTATATTTATATTTTACAGCGTTTGGCTTATCTCCTCCTATCTGAAAGCACGAGACGAGGAGAAAATCATCTGCAGGTCGAGGCGCGCAGTCAAATACGCATGCACGCCCCTTTGCTTTCCTCTTGCGTGGGACAACAAATGTAATAACTTTTTCGGACGAGGGTCACTGTCACTCATATCTGCATTACCGGACTGTTACCCCCTGCCAGCTGTGGTGGTTGTCAGTCGTGGGATAAAAAGCCTACCGCTGGCAGGAAGCGTCGTTTGTTATTGTTTACCTATGCTGCCCTGGCTGCGTGCGGTTCCGCGATACAAATGCATATTTGACAGCTCGCTGAAAACAAACGAAGAAGAGGAGGGGGATAACAAGAAGAGGTGTCGTTACCCTCGCTGCCCGCGTAATGCTCAGGTCCTTCATCACTTCTTCAAACGCCGCTGTCTCCTCTGCCTGCTTCTGGTTATGCAAAGCGATTTTCTCGCTGAATTTCCGCGGATTGTTCGAAGTCGCCATGTTTCGCTCTTCTGCTCCGTTTTCCTTCAATGGTCAGTGTCAAGAGGCACGCAGTGAGGACACACGACTTCCGGTTAGAGGCGCTGAAATAAGAAAAACACACAAGAAAAAACACCGCAAATTAACCTAAGTGCAGTTTAAAATTGTGTTTAGAGGTTTTTGATGTAATGTAACTAAGTGAATTGACTTAAGAAGGTTATTGAGTACGGAAGCCGAATTGAGGTAGGCAACTTGTAGACTAGTATTTCCATGTTATGCTATTTTGTAAACTTGGAATGCCATAATTTCACATTTCAGCCCATTATATTTTGATTTTACAGCAGTATCTACTTTGCAGATCATTATTAATAGATCCTTTGGGGGGGGGGGGGGGAGACGTGTTGGTAGCTTTATCCACGATACTCCCAAAAGTACGTTTGCTGGTTATGATCGTGTGAATAAAGCTTTTTGAATGTAAAAATTAGCTCTACCTTACTCCTTAGCAAGTTGAAAAACGAATATGTTTGACACTTGAATGCATCAATTATCATAGGCTATTGCAGTACAACTATAAACCATTTTTAACATTCTGCATGATGAGTTTTACTTTTGGTTATTAAATTGTATTTTGTTGCACTTGTAGGCTTCTTCGTAAGATAGACAGAGTTGGCAATTTCCCAGTGTAGTACTGCTATTTTCGATCTGAGTAGTAGCCTATTTCTTCTACCACTGCCACCAGGGGACAGACAATGCTCACAGAATCCCAGATAAAACAGCTAGTCACAACTTGCATGCTAGCAAACATTGACTCACTTTGCTTTACCTCCCCAAGTCCTCACAACTATATGTTCAGCTTGGTAGTTGTATGTCCTAATATTCTTTATACTTAGCTAATGTAAAGTTTGTCCCAAGCAAATGCAGGTAATGATAACATATTAAAAACATATAGGCCTACAATTGATCATATTGATTATGTTAATATCCAGTAAACTAGTGGCTAACATTTGTTTCCCACTGAGTAAAACCGAATTCCCTTTTATTGCGTCAGCTTTTATTCTGAAGGCACATGTGTAGTTTCCGGTATCGGTCGTTTCTGCCCGACTTGACGCAGCTGCCTCAGCTTTGCGTGATCACGTCGCCGCGCGGGGGTGTAGTGGGGGCGCCCCGCACATCTGGACTGCGGAGTAACTGCACATTTCACTTTTTTAACAAAACACGAATGTGTAGTCTAAAACAAGAGCCTCCACATAATGTCAGCAGAATATATTATTATTATTATTATTATTATTATTATTATTGGCAGTAGTAAATATATCAATGCAAGACATTTTTAGGGATCACTGCTTTTATCATAAAGCAGATCATAGTTCATAGTTTGAATCAAATTATTTTTGTTATTTCTTTTTATCTATTTCTTTTTTATTTAATGTACTTGTATTCTTATTGTGTGCACTATCTGTGTTTCTTTCTCTTTCTGTTGCTGTTATGACAGTTATGACATTTGAATTTCCCTATACAGGGATGAATAAAGGTCCATCTTCTTATCTTATCTTTCATCCAGTGTTACCAATTCTTACATCAGTTGATTCTTTTAACCTCTCTTTGGTAAACATGGATGCTTTAAGTATAACACTAAATTCAGCTTGTTTTTTCTTGCAGACAATGATTAACTTCCTTGTGGTTTGGCCTAAATGTTTGTGACTTTAAGTCTCAACAACGCTCCTCCTGCTTTCCAGATGAACAGATTCAAAAGGTGAACAAACTTATAGAGACTCACTCATGGATACCTTTGTGCTCTTAGATGAGGGAGAAAGAGGTGTTTCTGTCACATTCTGTTCAGCTGTTCCCCCTAAAAATGATATAATAAACAATCAGGGGGGAAATACCTTTGCTTGTCCGTTCTTGTTTCCTCACTTGAGTGGGAGTTTTATCTTCAGCAGCAGCATACTGTCAGCCATGAAAACAGCTGCATTCACAACAGAGAGAGGCCTATACACACGCTTTATATACCATAATACTTTACACTCAGTAACAACAACACCTGCATAATCCAATTCATAAGACATATTCTTTTGTCAAAACAACACTTACAAAGACTTTCTTTGTTGTTGTTTTTACAGGCACTGAGGGCACAGAGCTGTTTCACCAGCCATTGAGGAGTGTGTAATTTTGTTGTAAGGTAACCACGGTAACAGAAAAAAGAGCGTCTGGAGAGAGTCTGTCACAGGATTTATCTTTTATCGCTAAATAAGCCTTAAGGGGGGGGGGAGTCTTGAAGTTTAGTGTGGTGATGGCCTATACAAATCAAATAAACCCCCTTTGATGCAGGAATCCCGTAACCAGCTGTCCTTCATCAAACGTTGTTAATGTTTTTCTTATTGCAACACACTGCTTAAACTGCAACATCTCTTTGGCTTGAGTGAGTAGGCAGCAGAAAGGGGAAACTCTCACTTCACTTTCTCAGATAGACATGAGAGTTTGAAAATGCCTCCCACTTTTTCTCTTTGCACACATCTTTTAGACCACTTTCGTTTTCGTACTGTATGGTGAACAATAAACCTATGGTAGAAATGCATGTCAGCACAACATTTCCAGTGTTAAAATGTAACTGTTGAGGCTTTTGTCATGTAGATTTTTCTTTACTATGATCCCATAACAAACATATAATATTTGCATTTGTAAATCTACTTTAATACTTTACAGTGGGCTAAGAAACTGTTTCAACAAGTTCAACACTGTCTCTCACCCCACCTTACACTCTTACATGTGTGACTTGTGTTAACATGCAGTGAGAAATCATTATAGTGTTGGTTCAAATTAACAATTCCCCTTTTAATTAATAGTTTATTTGCTTTTCTTTACATTCTGCAGAATTGTATTTGTGTGTGTGTGTGTGTGTGTGTGTATGTGTGTATCATTAATTCATGTAGCAGTATTTACATGTAGAAAAGAGATAACACCACTTAAACTTTGGATTAACTTAAGCTTGTTTTTATCTGTGTGTTTATAATTTATTGGGATAATAAACCTTAAACATAAACTCTAAAACCCTTTCTTCAAGAACCTTTAATGCTTAAAATCATTTTGTGTTGTTTTAAAACGATTACATTTCCCAACAATGACCTTTAGTCAAATGAGATGGGTGTTCATTTTATTAATACTATCTCATATTCAACAGCAAAGTTGTAATCTTGCTGCTCTAATCTAACTGAAGCTTTACTGGGTGAGTAATCAATTATCAAGATGAGACAATATTATGGCTTCTATCACCAGCAAGATGCAACTTTCACCAAGACATGGGGACCACCTTCTTGTAATAGGTATACTTCTTTACAATGTTTTGCACATATTTTGTACATGTGACTGCCCCAGGACAGTTGCTCATCAAACGTAATCGTAGCCGTAGTTTAGTCTCACTAGCTTGCATATGAGGTTGCACTGAAGTACATAACTTATTGGTTGGATTTATCTAATTCTTTATCATTTATACACAGTTATATCACCAGGAATCATGTTAAACTGACTTTTTATAAATGTATTAGTGGCATATCATTAACATATTTATAGAGAAAAACAGTGGTCCTAATCATCTTTCCTGGGGGACACCATACAGTACGTTACTATCCTAAATGAAAAAACTCTACAAAATATCAATTTAGCCAACATTTCTTCTGTTCTTAATAATTTATTTGATCATCAACATATTAAAATCGGGCTAAACTATTAACTATTTGTATGTGTTCAGATCGGAAATGTGTCGATTGTGTCACAAAGTTTAATTTATCTGTAATTCAGCTCCTGTCAGCAGCCGTCTATTTTCAGAAATAGCTTTTACAGGAAATCTTATGGGTTCAGTGCCTCTGGTCCATGATTTCAATAAAAGGGAACTTCAGCATTGCAAGTGTGAGATGAACTACTTGACTTCCCTCATAACTCAGACCTTGACCCACAACGATGGAGCCTTCTATGGTACGTTCACTCTTTGTATTGACCCATACTGTTTGACTTGGCTTCATGTACAAGGTTATCTAACAGCATTTCCTAGAGTTTATTTTGCTGTTATTTTTTGATGTATTTTTATGTTTTAAGACTTATTTAATTTTGCTTGTGAAGAAGCATTTTTTTAACAATAATAAGCAATAATCAAATCAAGTTTTATTTATATAGCACATTTATAAACGATTTTTGGTCGAGCCAAAGTGCTGTACATATAATAAAAATAGCCTACAGTAGAGACACTTTACAGAAAATACAACAGCACAGATTGTTCAGAATATCAGTATGAGAAAAACGACACCCTCTCTATCCTTAGACACCTCACATCGTACAAGGAAAAACTTCAAGAGAAAACCCCACAGTTTAAGGGGAACAAATGGGAGAAACCTCAGGGAGAGCAACAGGACGGACAGACGTGCAATAGATGCCGTGTGTAAATCGAAGAGATAATACATTTTACAGCATATAGACCACCATAATAATACACTAAACGCTTTTATATAAATGATAAATAAATGTCTGTTGTTGCTAATGACTATTGAGCAATGTCCTGCAGTCTCATTCTGTAATTTATATACTTGTAGATCACGAATACCACGGAAAATTCTACTTTGGTCTCAAACCCGACCGCAGGTCTGGCTGTCGGGCTGACTCTCTTCTTTCTACTGGTGGTGATCATAGCTGGTGTAATCGTTTACAAATACAATAAAGTGAGAGATATGTTGCAGCTCGGGAAAAAAAGACGACAGAAAAAAGAAGACTTTGCAGAAACACCACAAGATGATTCCCATCAGTACACCAGCAGGATTCATGAGTCCACCAGCAGGATTCATGAGTCCACCAGCATGATTCATGAGTCAACAGAACAGAACCCTATTTATGAAAACCTGACAACTCAAACTACTAGGAACAACAGGCCCGAAGTAGAACAGAACAAGTAAGCTGAACCTCAAGTTCTTATCTGGCAGTACAAGTTTACACCTTTTTAGAGGAAATGCTATTGTGAAATGACATTTGTGAAACTATGAAAAAAAGGACCTCTCAACGGAAATAGATGAACAAACAGTTG